ATATATATATATATATATATATATATATATATATATCTTTTATATATATATATATATATATTAATAGTTTTCTGTTGAAAGAAACTTATATAGCACATATTACGTTGCATACTTCATGATAATTCGTATCAGTTTTGCGTATTTACATAAATCATTTAAGAATTCCTTAGAAGTATCCAATTTTTTTGCGATTATACTTCATGTACAAGAACATTATAGGCTATACGCAAACTTGTACAGTTTGAGTATCAATATACATTTATGTACTATACCCTACGGTTTATAAAAAAGAAAAAAAGATACATATTAAAAGATACTATACAACAAGGAAAAAACAAATACATACGTTATCCTTTACGAGAGCACAATTTTTTTATGTCCCATTATGTACCGTGAACAATAATTATACGATTTTCCAAATAAATCATCGAATATTCAGTCTTAATTGAGCTACATATCATTCTACCTCGCGTTAATGACATCATTAAATACGTTTAAATATATTAATGATTACTCTAAGGTAAATGAAATCTGTTATACCTCTATGTCTTTATCTTATTCTGTTGCTGAGATCGCCTGGCCTTTATTCGCGCTTGTAAAGTGAGAAGTAGCCCTGCAAGAACGTCGTGATTCGGCAACTTTTTAGCGAAGAGGAGACGCTTCACCGAGTCGTCGTAAGTCAACAATGCAACCATGTTTTGCAACAGGAATCCTTGACAGTATTCTAGTAGCTGCGTTGCATTGTAAACCTGGAACATTCAATTGAAAATGAGTCAGGTGTAACGCAAATAGGCTGCAGATGTTATGCATCAATGTCATAGATGATTATTTAAATGTACACGAAAAATAGTACACCTTAGCGTGAATGTACATGGAGACAATGTTGTCAATATCAACCATTGAAGAACATTGGGCTTCGCAATACCTAAGCAGACCATCTAGTTGGAAGAAGTTCGCTGCGGCCATCAATTCTAACACATCACTCTGATTTACTTCTAATGTGGCGCATCCGCCATGATATAAAAATTCCATGACCATCTAAAAGTGAAGAATTTTTACAGAAGAAAACCATATGTATAATCTTTTAATGGAATTACGATTTCTTTCATTTCAATTACACTAAATGTTTTCACACCTGGAAGATATGGTACCGTATATCATTAATTTGTACAATCGGTGGATTTCCTTCACACAATTTCGAGCTCAACATGTTCCTAAATCTCGGAGACGACGTTACCAATACAATTTTATGGCCGTAAAAGACTCTGCCTTCTACTCGGAACTGTACATCGCTCAGCTCTGGATTATTTACAAATTTAGGATCGATTCTCGACCCGCTGGAAAGTGTAGTGTCTCTAATGGGTTTTATTGGTTCCCATCCGAAACATGTACAAAAGATATCGGCAAGGAGAAGCGTCGTCCCTTCCTTCTATACAAAGAGCAAACATAACAGCTGATGCAAAACAAATGAGACAGTATTGATTTAAGAGGACTCACCTTGCTGTACCTAAAGATATTAAATAAGAGGGGAAGGCATTCCTGAACAAATTGTGTCGAATAGTCGTCAGGACACACTTGAAGGAAATCTTGAAGCAACTGATCTATCACTGAGTCTAATCGCATTTCATGTGCAGTCGCAAGACTGTGCATCCAACAGTGTAATGTCCAACCTACTTTCAGTCCACGAAGTTCCATGGTGATATCTATTAGGCAAGTGTGCATCACAAATGAAACAATGTAGAAACATTACTCTTAAGGATCAAATATACGTAGACTATTCATTAATTTACCTAAATGATTACTTTCTGCGCTATGGTACATAGCTTCTTGCAAAGCTTTAGTCTGTACTTTGTTGAAAACAGGTTCTTTGCCCTCTCTACGGTTCCCTCTACCATCCACAGTCTGTTGCTGTGGGTTAGTACATGCACTTCCTTCTGCAAGTATCTCCTCCAACGACAATACCTCCTTTTCCCCACGCTTTGTGGAGAAATTCAGTGGGTGAGATAACAGTTGATGAAGGCAACTCCGTTGGCCATGCGCTGTTGCTACAGATATTGCACTACAACACAAACACATTAGAATATAATCTGTCCATTGCACTGGCAATACAGTTCTAACACTAATCCTACGAGTTGAGAAAGAAATCACAGGCCAAGGAGTTAAGAAGACTACATTCCACTTGCCTGTAACAGCCACGTTGAGCAGAACCAGAGTACGAGAACGAGTCTTTGATCAACGTTGACAAAAACGGTTGCGCACCATGTGCCAACAGCAACGCGACCATTTCATTATTACCAGAAGCAGTGGCAGCTTGCAATGGTGTAACTGTACACTTGTCTTCGCTGACCTTGGCACCACCTTCAACCGCAGCGCCCCTTTCCAATAATACTCTCGCAATATTGCAATGCCCTAACAGAGCAGTATAGGTTAAGGCAGTCCAATGCTGAGTCTCAGCGTTGAACCCAGTTTGATTGCAGTACAGGTTACTCGATGCATTGCTAGACGAGCCTGGTGAGCCAGACAAAGAACTCGGCGTTTGTATATTTTTCCCTGGAGACACCATTGCTGAGGACGCCGGGCTTCTGGCGTTGGACGCACCGGGCGCTGGCACTTTGGAAGGCGTGTTGGCCTGACCAGTCGACGGAGGAGGACTCTCAACGTTCAGATCCGCTCCAGCATCTAGTAAACCTATCACTGCAGTCTCATCTCCATTGATACACGCTATCATCAGTGCTGTGAAGCCATTGTCATTCACAGTGTTGATCTTCGTCGAGGGCAACAGGGGCATAGCTTGAGCGATCAGGTCAGCCCGTCCACTGATCAACAGTTTGAATGCCATGTCCATAGTGAGCAAACGCACGTATTCAGAATCGTCGATCCGCTTCGAACAGACAGCTACCTCCTCGAAGCTGGAAACGTGACAGAGATAAGAGGAGTTAATAGAAATAAGGAGGTAAAACTGTTTGGAGATATCGTTGGCTTTTACCATATAGGCCTAACGGGACAGTCCACGCCAGGCAGTAACAATCTGGCAGCTTGATTAATATCGTCCTGATCTACAACGAGTCCGTGCCTGTGTTCTGCATGAGCAGTCGCGACACGGAGCCATTCAACCAGAGGAGGAAGAACAACGTACGCTCGCTCGTACGCGAGCTCTTGTATCCCGGAACCCCGTTCCCCGTGCTCCAGCTAGGCGGAACGTTACTTGGTGAGATCGTGGTGCAAAAAGTTATCGTAATGTCCAACTCTACAATCAATTATCTAGCGATCAAACCTGCGAACACCTCATATAATAAAATAAGGCGTTCAGCGCCTTGCCGGTTAGGGGGACCAGCGACCGTCCCGCCTGCGCTACTTTCGAGATCAGATCTATTAACTCCGACATTGATCCTACGCAGGTGGTCAGCAGCGACGGTTCCAACGCAGAGCCTGCTGCGTCTCTTCCACTCCGGGACGACGACGACGAGTTCAACGAACTTACGCTGGCCCAACGAGGCATCGCCAGGGCACCTGGACATAGTGAACTTTGTTAGTGGCTTTGACAACTGAATAATTAACCCTTTGCGGACGGAGATTCTTTGGAGTGTACGAAACCTTCGACAGATGAAGGGAGATTATATATTGATTGCTTAAGTACATATAATTGAGTCCAATAATATTATTCTACCTGATGCTGTTCGGCCAGCATTCAAATGCGCATATGGTTGAAGGAGACCCCATAAATCGCCACTATTCGCTATGGCGTGCTCCAGCATGGTAGCCGTTAAGGTTGTATGCGGATCAGTGGGTATGCACTGTAACAGTATTTCCTCCAGGAGATTTTCGATTCCAGCGGTCAGATATATGGCCGCGTACTCGTGTATCATTCTTCCTAGCCGTACGTCGGACATCCACCGGAGAAACCGTCCTACCGGCAATTGCAGCCCTGACCGAGACGCTTTTGATTGCTTCAATTGGTCACCGGAGACAGCGAACATCGTGGCAGCTCGTAAACAAGCCTGTTAAGAAAACAAAACTTGTAGAAGTGACTATTCAAAGTATCAGCAAGTTGAGAATATCTATGGTTACCATTCGAGGACACTCCACTGGCAAGACATGAGGATTTTCAGAAGATCAGAATGTTAATTGTGTGTATCGTTTATTCTGTTGTGAATATTTACTTGTTTCTTTAAGTTAATGTTATATATAGTAGGATGATACCAACAATATTTCATAAAGTAGCTCTAAAAATTCTATTGCTACTGAGAACTGCTCTTTACCCCATTTTGAGAAGATTACAATATTGTATGTATGTTTACTCAGTTATGAATATTTACTACTACTGTTTCTTTGCATTAACATTATATAAAATAGCCCTAACAATTCTACTGCTATTGAGAACTGCTCTTTACCACATTTTGAGAAGGTCACAATATTGTATAGTATCATTTACTCAATTGTAAATATTTACTACTACTGTTTCTTTGCGATAACATTATATATAGTAGAATAATACCAACAATATCCCATAAAGTAACCCCAACAATTCTACAGCTATTGAGAAACTACTCTTTACCACGTACCTTGGTGCAAGAATCAGCCAAGGCAGGGCAAAGCACGATCTTGAACGCGCTGTACACTTCATGCTTGCTGCAAAGGCCAACAGGCTTGGCGAGTCGTTGAGTCTCGCGGCCAATTCTAACTAAAGCGCGTTGCAACAGGTAAGACAACCGCGGTATAGTTTCCATGGACACTTGGTCCATGTGTTCCCTGGTGCGACCGTTCTGCAACACTCTCAGAACGTCGTGGTGGGTCCAGGGTAGCTGCTGCAGTTCTACCAGCCTGTTATGAGAGTCCACCCAGACGAACTCGTCGGCGCTGGTCACGTTGGTGTTGATGGTCTCCAGGCTGGAATGTCGCATCAGCCTCCTTACGGCAGGCTCCGAGCTCTCGGAGCCGCTCAAGGAGGAGTAAGTCGACGAGGACTTGTGGGAGCGCATCGTGAGCTGCTGGATCGCCAGCTTGATGTCCTCTAAACCTGATCCCGACCACGGCACCTGCAACTACCATCGTATGTTTACATTCGAATCTGACTAATGATTGCTACTAAACTATAATTATAATATTAGGTCATCCTATAAGTTTGTGCAGAGGTGTGTTGACCAGTGGTAGCTCATAGATAAAATTAGTGGGAGTGTAGCTCCAGAAACTTTGCAGCCTTTTAAAATGTTTGTCTTTTTCATAAACTGGGGATGGCTACTGACATTAACAATAGAACTACCAGGCAGGTAAAATGACCAATTCCTAGTTTCTTCTTTTACAATTACTGTAAAGGTACAAACACTTCTTTAAGAAATGTTCGAAGAACTTGATCTACCTAAACTAAAACATACCCTAACAGAAATCTCAATAAATTCAACTCACAGCTTCCATAAAGATAATTTAAGTGCTCGGTAATTCTAGTGCTACTGTTAACCCTTAGCACTCCAGGTTGTTTTGTAATCTATCAGATTATTAGAAATATAACATTGATTCCATCTTTTATTTTCTTTCTTAGTACAAAACTCAGAAGTGTGGAAAATCTAATAATTCTAGAGCAGTTTCTTTAAGACTCATTAAAGTATTTAATGTTATAACTGGTGCAATATTGCCTACAGAATTCAAAGGGTTAAACAAGCTAATTTAGGAATACCTAAACTGAAATATTATATTAAATATTAACGATAATATCAAGTGGAAATTGGGCCACTGTCTAGCCTAGAACTACCAGTCAATGTAGCTTATTTCTCACACATCCAAAGACAAATGGAATCTGAATAAATTTCCTACAGAAAATCAGTCCAACTGCTTGGTAGTTCCAGCGTCAATTACAAGGTAATCACGTCAACTTATACAATGAATATTTCTAACGCATAAGCTTGTACAAGTTCAAAGGGGTCAAAGATGCGTTGCGAAAGGACACCTTGGCAGGCGTGGCCCTGTGTCTGTTGCGATTCTGTCCGGATCTGCTTCTGCCATTTCTCTGGGTGACCGAGGCCGACAGGCGATCGTCCTCGGGTACAGAGTTCAGTTGCTGAGGACTGTGCGACCTGTGGTGACGATGCGGAGGCGAGCTGCTGCTCGTGTGACCACCCGTGTCCGACATGCTTGCGTGACCCGACGACCGATTTTCATCCGACGAGCTGTTACCGGTGCATTCTGGTCGCCTCTGGAAAAAAGTAGACGATTTTAATGACGCTGTCGATTACACTGAACACGCTAGAGACCAGTGACGTAGTTCTACGTCACTCGACGCTCGTCGAAACTCGAAACAGTTCTCTTCCTTAACACTAGATTTACGGAACCCGTCAATTCGACGGATATTGAATTTTTTAAACATTAGTAACAGCTTCAGTCGATCTTGATTCGTGCAATTATGCGAATACCAATTGCAATTTATATATATGAACACGTAATTTTCTAGAAACAATAGAAAGCATAGAACAAACGTCCGTAAATCTATTGTTAAAGAAACTAAAAGGTCAAGATTCTTAATAATTGCTCTATTGTCTTCGTTATGGTTGATACATTCGACGATAATAAAATTTAATTCAATATTAACCCTTTGACCTCGAAGGGCGCCAGTGGCCACTTGATTCGACGCGACACTTACAAAATTTTCAAAATTTCAAAATGGAAAAAATACAGTATTAAATCATTCGACTGAACTGGATTATTATCATTGCACGTTCATTATCATCGTTTAACTGAGAGAATAGTGACTGAATTTGGGCGGGGGTCACCGGTGATCAATCAAATCGACTTTAGTTCGCTCGATTAAACGATGGTTCGAAAATATTTCTATATTATAAATAATGCCTTCTGCGTTGACGTTCAGTTAGATGGACATGCGATTATAATAATGCAATTCAATCGAATGATCTAATTTTTTCCATTTTGTGTATTTCGCGGCATCGAATCGTAGAGCATTCAACTTGTTAAGGAACGACTCCGCTATTAGCGTTGTCTCTTTTACGCTTGATAATTCCTGTTTTACAACTGGATCGACGCACGTATATACCTGAAGCGCTCGGATCTCGTGTAAGCTAAGGTGATGATGCTGAGAATGATGGGGATGCTGAGGGGTCGGAGTCGGAGCCACGCTGTCCGTGTCCCTTTCCGCCACCATGTGGACCGTATTGTGGACGCCATTTTTCGGCGAGCTCTCCGCGAAATCCTTCGTGTACGGGGGACAATACAGGTCGCGTCCATTGCTACCCCCTGGCCTGGAAAACGAACGTTAATGCTGTGTTAATCGAGGGACATTCGAATGATCTGTAATTTTGTCAACGACGATTTTGCATAGGGGAACATTTCGAATTTGAAACATCAGTTTCAAATAAGAAAGTTTTCAATGGGAAATAGAATGTTCGGTTTGAAGTGTGAATGTTTTGAATTTGGAACGTTAATGTTTTTAAATATGATGATTTTTGATGGGAAATAGAATGTTCGGTTTGAAGTGTGAATGTTTTGAATTCGAAACATCAATGTTTTTGAATATGAAGGTTTTCGATGTGAAACATCAGAATGTTTGCTTCGAAATATGAATGTTTTGAATTCGAAACATCAACATTTTCAAATATAAAAGTTCTAGATATGAAATATCAAAATGTTCAGTTCGAAATATGAAGTTTCAACTGTAAAATATCAGAATATCCAGCTCAAAGTATGAAAGTCTAGAATCTGAAAAGACTCATCAAGCGATCGAAGTTTCCAACTTTCAGCTGAACAGTGCACCAGATACGTACTCGCGTGCAAACTCTCTTTCCTTTTCATTCGCTTCAAATGAAAATTCTTGAAAACCTCCTGAGTGTTAAATCCAAAAGAACGCCTTGCTTTAAGCACTTCGCTAATTAAAAGTAAAACTTCCAGTAAGGAAACGTTTAAAAACGGATATCAGACGATCGAAGTTTCCGACTGTGAGCACAATTCGAACACGAAAGATCGCGTGTGATTTTCATCTGACGATTTACGATTTTCTCCGATTTCGTCGTAACGTGTCCTGTGTACCGTTGACCCTTCGGTTCACGGGGGACACGGAAAGATATCGTTCGCGTACGAAACTTTCGAAAAGGGCGCAGAGATCGATCATAGGGGCTCGGTCGACCGAGAACGTTGAACAAACGATACTCGATACCCCGTCCGGTCGGTTTCACGTTAATTGCCCACCAAATATAATTCCGCCGACTCGCTTTCGATCCTTTCTTTTCGACTCTGCGCGTCTCGTGAAAGCGAGCATATAATAAGGAATCCGTTCCCAGAGGCTCGTATTCCGTTAGAACGCCGTCCCGAGGAAAGTTATGTTCCCGTAGACGAGGAATTCGCCGGGGAACGACGACGAAACGGAAAGAACGAGGAATATATAGAGCAATTCCGTCGGGAGTGTTAACCCCTTGCCGTACAATGACCAGCGAGACTCGTGATGATTTATTAACACTTTCGTGTATTAACTCGTCGAAACGGTTTTCTTCGTTAACCAGAAATTGAACGGTCAAGATTAACCCTTTGAACTGTGGCTCCAATATTGCACCAGTTATATTAACACTAGAACTACCAGTTCAATTGACTTTTGAAAATTTCGCTACAGAAACTCCAAGAGTATCTGTTCAGACTTTGATTCTAATAATTGCAAAAAAACATCAGGCATGGGTCATTTGACCCCTCTGGTAGTTTTAGTGTTAAATATTTGAATGAATCTTAAAAAGGCTACCCTAAGATTATCAAATTTTCCAGCGAAATGTTGAATTGAGAAGGAAAATGGAAGGAAGAAATGTAATTGTTAATTTTCATCATTAGTAATATAGAATTAGATTTGCTGATGGAGTATGAAACCATCCGAGTGCAAAGGGTTAATAATTGCTCCATCTTTCAGTTAACAAAATTCAATGCACAGTAGTTCCAGTGAGTAATGATAAGTATGACTTAATAATTTAATATCTACAGCAAAAAGCTGAACAGTGATTAGAAGGGCGCATCATTTGTTTGAGAAAGGATCAAACAGCTGTGCAATTTATCATACTTCTCGGGCTGTTCCAATTAAATGCTCATTTCCAAGATTTTTATCTTCACGCTCTAGAGCTCGATTCCGAAACCGTATTATTCCCCGGCCACGAATTTAGAAACTCGATTTCTTTTTCACGATTTGCCGATATCGCGAGGATAACGCCTATGAATACGTGAATGCCTTCGACGATCCGGACGCAGTTCGTGTAACACGAAAATTGTTTATGAAAGGAAAAATTATTTCTTCACCTTCGTAATACCGATATTTTTCGTAAAAAACGACGATAGTTCGTACTTTACGATATTCGCGTTGATATTTCTAAATGAACGTCAAGAATCGGTCCATTATAGAGCTTACACTTATAATCAACGCGAAAACCGTAATTCAGTTGTAAATTCAATGTTAATACGTGCGAAACTTACTAGAATCATCAACAAATTGCTTTATATACCTACAAAACACACATATTTTGTAGAATTTTCAAATTCAGAGCAACAATACGTGTAAAACGTCATGCAAGCGACAGAAGTGTCGCGAGGTTAGTTAATCGCTAAAACAACCGAAAGTTTAACAACATTAACATATAACACATTTCCTTAAGTTCCTTCATACACTGATAACATTATTAAAATAAAACTGTCCATTTTTCAAGCGATTTCCGATATGTAACGCTTCAAAGATCCGAATAGTTGCGGAACAAGGAAACGGAGACCCGCCATTTTGTCGGGCGCCGTTGCTCTAGCGTGAAATGCCTGTGCGACGCGTACACCGTAGAAAACGTGTAAATTTTAGCAATAAAAGGGATACTGTCGTCAATCTAAAGGCATAGCCTCGATTTTCCGGTTCGAGCGAGTTTGCTTTCCAAACAACGGAGCAAAATACTCGCCGGCGAACAGGTAATCGCCGTGAAAAATCGGCCTGTGGCCCCCAGCGGTGTAACCGGCCGGTTTCTCGAAAGTATCCTTTAATTTTCAGGACCCCGTGGTTACGTAACGCGGCGGGGATTGCATGCGGACGCGGTTCCACCGTGCAAATTAACAGTAGGCGTACGAAACGTAAATGAGATTCACGTGATCGATAAAACGTCGGGGGGAAGGGTCGATCGTGATCCACGTGTGCCGCTCCGTGGATCTTGATCGGGGCCCCGTTCTGTTTCCGGCGATTCGAGACGTTCCTCCTGTTCTAATTTAAATAAATTTGAAACGCCGCGGACCGACGCGGCTTAATTTTTTGCGGACGAATGTCGATATTCTAGCGAGATGAAATTGTATTTGGAAAACCAAGTCGCGAACGAATGATTGAATTAGTCGAACAACGAGAGATCAGCGTGTAATTTCCTTCTTTTCCTGTTAATTAAGCGATTGGTGTATTATTTAGCTTCATCTGCTGAAGGTTTCGTATATTTCAAAGAATCTTCGTCCGCAAAGAATTACTTCCCTCCCTTTGCACTCGGAAGTTCTTTATTAGAAATATTTTAACCCTATGAACTCTGTAAGCTTTCGAATTTTATAAACATTGTTAAACGCTTACAACTTTGATTGATCCAATTCCACCAGTATGCGTCTCAATTATCTATTATCAAACATCTAAATTCCAAAAACCGAATGAACGAACATAACCTTCTCTAGGACCAGTAGACTAAGGAAATCGAGACCCGCCATTTTGTCGGCGCGGTTGTTCTAGCGTAAAATGTCCGTGCAACGCGTATATTATACAAACTTTGTAAATTTTAGCAACAAAAGGGACACCGTTGTCAATCAGTAGAACAAATCGTACAAGAAATTACCGTAAATTTAACATTAAATAAACATTATTCACCCTTTGCACTCGAGAGGTGACTCAGTCACCACTTGATTTGATACAGCAAAACTATGAACCTGAATATTTAGTATTTCAAATGAAACTAACTAAAATAACTTTATCGCTTAATCTATCTGTGAATTGTCAAAATTTAATATTGAATCTTCAATTTTACAATTTCCTTGAATCAAACCAAATACTGGAAGGCTAGGAAACTAAAACCTTCGAGTGCAAAGGGCTCATTCCCATCTATCCCTCATCAAACTACCCACGTGCCAATTTCCCTCTCCCTCAAGAGCCTATCAACAACGCATCGATCACGGTTGAGAAATCGCAGAACAACCGTCAAGAAGCAAAAAGCCGCTCGCGCAGCGGAAAAAGAAGTGGCAGCAAAAAAGGAGGTCAGTCGCGTGCTACGGGCAAAGGTACCGGTCATTTTTCATCGACACGGTGTAACAACGAGACGCTGGGTCCGTGATTTACCCCCTCAGGCGCCATTGCTGCACGAAGCTCCAGTCCGCCTTGAACCCGGTGCTGTCCCCCGGCAAGGACCAATAATCCTCGACCTGGCTCTCGTCCTCTTCGATCCTGAGCACGTCCTCCCTGCTGGGGCTGACGTTCACCACGATCTCGTGCGTGACCTTGGCGTCCTCGTTCTCCAGCAGGCTAACCGTTGACCGCTGCCTCTCGGTGCGGATCCTCGGGAGCCTCTTCTCCTCCTCTTGTGCATCAGCGTCTTCTCTGGCCTCCTCCATCCTGGCGCCTTCCTTGACCGTCAAACCTTGATGATTCTCAACGGACAGCGATCTGCCGGCTTCCTTCTGCCTCTGGTTCGTGTCCCCGAAGTAGATGACCGTCTTGTGAGCGACGTCTTTGCTGTCCGGCCGTCTGGGCCCGTTGCCGGCCACTGGTGCCGCGACCCGGCCCGCTTCCGGCCCGTGGCTCTTGTCCTCCAGCGTGGCGCTATCTTCGTAGCCGGCGAACCTCGGCTCCTCCGCCTCCAGCCATTCCTTCGTCGGCGACCGGCCCCGGAACAGCGGCAGGCCCCGGCGCAGAATGAAGTTCACGCCGTCCCGCCGCGCGCCGGCCGGCTCCAGCCCGGCCGCCATCGCGCCGCAACCCGTCAGCTCGCGGCACAGAACGCAGCAGCAATCGTCGATGCACCGGCCACGATCCAGCAACGGCATGTCAGCCGCCGATCATCTTCGATCGCTGATCGACGTCGAGAGTGGAAGACGAAGTACTTCTAGTCTTCCTTGGAAGAGTCTTGGCTACTGATTCCTCAAGGGAAGCCTGTAGTTGATGACACTCGGAGCTTGGTGCGGAAGTTCAGTCCCCGGTTGCTGCAGCTAGATTGCTTGCAGCTGGTTATTACCGTAATTTGCTGTTATTAAGTCCTGTAGACACCTTTCGTACACAGTG